CGCAACCTGTACACTGAGAAAGCCAAAGCTTTCCTGTTCAAGGCACAAAGGGAGCATTATGAAAACAATGAAACCTCTTCCTCTTATTTCTTTAATCAGGTCCGGGGAAGGGGCTAAAGGCAAGAGTACCGGAGCAGGTGAGGGAGGACTTGGAGAGTCCGATTACAGCACAGGAGCTGAGAGTGGCGCTTTGGTGCATGGAGAATGGCAAGGTGCCGGGGCCGAATGGACTCCCCAAGGAATTCTACACTTGCTTGTGGGACACCCTGGTGGCAGATCTGGTGGAAGTGGTGCAGGAGATCTTCCACCGGGGGAAACTCAGAGATACCATGAGGGAAGGGGTCATCTCCCTGCTCTTCAAGAACTGGAGGTCAATCACGATGCTCTGCGTGGATATCAAGATCCTGTCCAAGCAACTGGCCAGCAGACAGAGGACCGCCCTGCCCCACATCATCAGCAGCGACCAGATGTGTGGCAAGGAGGGGCGATCCGTCAGCTGGAACCTCCAGTCAGTTCAGACACTGTACTCTGATGTGGGCAGCAGGGTCAATGTAAATGGACACCTGGGGTATTTCATTCTTCACAGGGCCATTAGCGGACGTGGTAAGACAGGACCCTGTCATCGATGGCCTGGCTATACCGGGGGGTGCTGGGGAAAACCTGAAGATGTTCCAGGACACAGACGACAGGACGTTGTTCCTGAGTTCGGAGAGGGGATTGAAGGGAGCCCTGCAGGTCATGGAGCAATACCCCAGGGCTTCGGGGTCGAAGCTCATCTGCCGAAAGAGCAAACTGAAGTTCTTCGGACCCTGGAAGGAAAGGACGACGGCACCAAAAGGTCTCAAGCTCTGCCCCTCAAGATATTGAGGGTTTCTTTCCAGAGATAAGACAACAAGACTATCAGCTGGACCAAGAGGATTGCCAGGGTGAACATGAAGCTGGGTTTGTGGAAAACGTAGTTGCTGTCCCTCAGGGGAAAGTGATGGTGTTGAAAGCAGACATCCTGCTGGCTTTGGTTTACCAGGCAGTGGTGTACCTGCTGCCGGCCAGACTCAGATGGGTGCTTCAAAGGATGGTCTTCAAGTTCGTCTGGGCAGCAGGTACGAGTACATCACAAGAAACCAGATGTGCCAGCCAGTCGAGGAAGGGGGGGGATGTGTGCCGCATTTCCCCCTGAAACTCGACTGCATCTTGTTCTGCAACCTCTGTCGAGTGCTGCGGGAGCCAATCAGCCACAAGTACTAGTACTTTGTCAGGCTGTGGCTCTCCATCCCGATGAGGCACTTGGTCCAGTGGACAAACACTGGGCCCAAAGCAGAGAGGCAACCGGAGTTCTACACCAATGCTGTCAAGTGGAGCGGGAGGTACGAGGCCATGAGACAGCCAGAGCTCTGCACCAACCACAGAGCCCCGTACAAGGAGGTGAGGGGACAGCTGGTTGAAAGGCTGCGGGTTCCCAGACAGGTGGGGGAAAGGACGAAGCCGAAGGAATTGGACAACAAACTGAAGGACCTCAACTGGATAACCATGCACCAGAGGCTTGAAACCAGAGAGGTTCATTAGGGAACCCGCATTGCCCGCAGGACACGTGTTTCGTCCAGGACCACCTGTTCTGGAGAATGGACAAAACTTTTCACCTCCTGGGAGCGGGAGCGGTGCTCAGTTACCAGTGCATCCTGCTGGGGCCAGCACCAACTGGATTGGACAAAGGGACACAGTACTTGCTTTGGCTGCTGGTGTCCCTAATAAAACAAGGACTGTGAAACAGTTGTGCACTGACTGATTAGCTCAATGTCAGAGCAGTTAATAAGCAGCGAAAAGCCTTAAATTGTTTGTTTTACTTTTCACTAGGAATGACAACACCCAAGATAAAAGTGTAATGAATGGATTATGGAGCAAAATTGTGTCTTAACCCTCTTGGCTGAGGGCTGACCTCCCAGCCAAAGGACAAGGAGGCCAGGACCCCCATGCAGGGTGACCAAGGGGCAGCTGCAGAGGTGGAGGTGGGATGCAAAAGACATGGAAGAGAGAGAGAGAGATAGGGATCTCATAGGTATTTATAGCATTTGGGAGAGGAATGGGTGTCAGGAGAGATTGCTAATTACTGCAGGCTGAGTCTGATTGAACTTGGTTGTTATCAACCCTCCCGAACTTTTGTTATAAACTCCATTAAGTTTTGATTTTAAAATGCATTTCACACATACTGTACTATAGTACAGTATAGTACATTTCACACCTGAAGAAGGCTCCAAGGCCGAAACGTTGTGTTCTCTTTCTTCTATTTTTCAGCATGGAATAAACCTATTACTTGTTCCTGTACTATAGTGGCTTTAAAACCATACGGTATCTTACTGTATGTACTGTATATTTATACGATATACAGATCACACTGCGGTTACTTGATGTGAACACTTCTGTTTTGGTATATCTATGGATCTGACTTCATATGATCTGCGTGTGTGGAAATTGTACTTTTTGTTCTTTCAGAGAGACTGCTCAGGAGAAACCTGCTGAGAACTGTGAGATGAAATTTTCTTTCTTTCTGACGTTACAAAGATGTGATTGAGTGTTGTGAAGTTCTGGTAATTTCGGGATTAAAACCACTGAACAATCAACAATGATTTATGTAGATGTAAACATTTGTTGTTTATACTCTATCTTGACACATGCAATGACATTAATTTAAAAAGCAGGACAACTTACTGTTTCTACTGCGACCAGATCCCTATGAAAATGAGAAGAAGGAATATTATTTACTTACATATTTACATTAATTACTTATGTGCTTAACATTTGCCTGAGAATTAGCCTTGCATTTTCTGAACAGATACTTAAAATCCTGTAGCTAATCAAAGCACATTACATTTCCTCTCTGTGGTCATATTACACCTTTCTGGTAAAACTTGTTAATGGCCATTAAACTACAGAAACCGAACCTGTGGCACTCTTCCTGCTGAGATGTGTAAAGAAGCTCTATTAATTAGAAGAGTGATTGTCTTTAAGTTGTATTATTCACATGCTCTGTTAGTGAGAGTTTCATCAGTCTTTACTGACAGGTGTCAACAACAGGGAAAAAACAACACACTGTGTGAATCAGGCGACTGTCAGAATAAATCCAGTCTTAATAATTTACAAAAATCAGTCTGAAAGAACTATGTACACATTTAAAACAACTTCATTTTTTTCAAGCCTGCTTTCTTGATATTCTTGATTTTAATGCATTATAATAGCTGTCATTTTACTGAAGTAAACTCACCATTGCTCAGATGAGTCTTGTCTCCTGGAACTGAATCAAGAAAATAGTGAATTAAAAAAACAATCCTTAATAAAAACAAGTTTCCTGCATAAAGTACTATTTATAAACCACGTAGAGATATCCATAATAATATAATGTTGATACTATATTAGTAATTTATGTATTCTTTATGTATGCTAAATTACTATTCCATTAAAGGATGTAGGGTGGGGCCACAAATCTTTTAGGATCAAGATCTATGTGCTATAAAAATACATTTCTACAAGTTTTATTTGTAACATTATCAGCTTGTTCATTTCTGTTTCAAAAAGAGGGTGATCGTTTTACGAATGAGGCTGAAATCGCACACTGGCTGTACACCTGGATTATGACCGGTGGTACTCCAGAGATCTACTAACTCGTTTTCCCCATGTTTGATTAAAGCCACTGTGACAGGAAAAAGACTTCATTTCGTCTGACTCATTGACACAGTCTTCAAAGTTTCTTCGCGCTGATTAAAAGAAAATTCCAACTACAGGACCTGTTGCTCACTGACAGTCTGGCGACTAGCGAAGAAAAGAGTGTTAAAACTGTTCAATGAAAATCAACGACCTTTAATCCCAGTTGCGTGAACAGAAACTACGACGAGTGGGTTTTTATTTTGTTTTTTGCTTTCAAACACTATATTGTGAGAGGCATTGCAAACTGGACACTTCCACAAATCCCTGTCCTTGCCCCTAATCTGTTTTACTCTATTAAACTACTTTTTTCTCTTTCTAAGTTTCCTCTGCGCCTTGTGCTCATAAAGGGCTGTGGAATTAGTCTGATCTCAGCGATCCCTCAATCTGGTTACTTTCACTTTCATTACATTTTTTAATTTATTTTTTACTTTCATGACATGAAAGTGAAAGTGTTTCTAATGTCTCCATTTTGATAAAGGCAAAAACATTTTTTGCGGTGGTTTTGTAACGCCAGTAAGGAAAGATCTCTGCTTTGTGGAAGTCACGTACAGTACATCATATCTGTTATACATATCATATATATTGTACTGTATGTGATCCCAGTCGCTAGCACTGCCCTGGACCCATGAATGCCTATCGCCTCCCTTTTCATTTGCCAAACATCTAACAAAAACGCCTTTCAAACCAATAGGTAACCAATTTCTCAACAGCTTCGCAGAACGTTCGCATATAGAAACAACTAAAACCATTATCTGCTGATGCACTGCACATCTGTTGAGAAAACAATCTGCAGCCGAAAATCAGTCACACCCTTAAATCACATTGAGTCACTCATAGTTACAGCGCGCACGGTGTTTAGTGTAGCAGTTGTGTTTTGCGACAAGTCTCATAGTAGACTTTCTGCGGACTAAGAGAACATATATCGATAGAAGAATCGCGATATACAAAATGTGACGTTGTGAGATACCTGTTTCTGTTCCTTGGGGTCTGTAGCCAGGCTTAATGCATCAGTCTGGAAGATACAGCTCTGTTCCAGCTAGTTACTACTGTATATTACAGTTTAACTCCAGCACAGCTGTAGCTCAGTTAACACACGAAAATAAAACGTAAGAACAAAACTAACTTCAGGTCTCGTCTCACAAGACTACTGTACGTCAAGTCTTGCAGTGTGGAGCTGGCTTTCTGTTCCCGAAATCTCCTCATTTACTTCCTGTATAGCCTTGTTCCTAACCAGCTGTGGGGGTTGTTAAGGTGCAGAACGAAATACCTAAAGTGAACTATCAAGCGAAACGTTTTGTTTAGCACTAAACTAATTACAGTGTTTCACACCGACTGTCTTAATACTGGTCCTAATACGTGGAACTCAGCAAAATCCTGAATTGATTCCTGATTTGAAAAACAGTCCCTGTAAGCATTTCTTAGGGATCCATTTCGAAAGTAATTCTTACTGCATCCATTTTTGAGCAAGGATGACATTTTAATGTGATTAGTGACACACATTTTGTTTTAAAACAAAACTATGTACATTCTACCTTAAATTTTTACTTTAAACTAATCTACTCGATTTGACCTGTATACAAATACCTTCTCCATGCAGTATAAATGTCTAATGCAGGAATGCGCGTTCTGGATTCTTACTAAAAACTTGTACAGGTTTTCTAATTGACCGTGATTATTCATATTTATACAATTTAGAAAAATACACCTTCTTATTCATACATTTTATTTTTACTTTTTGGTTACCGTTGCATCGAACACAAGTACTCTTTCCAAAATTACCAGCGTACAACACACATGAGGCATATAACGTCCACATCCAGTGTATTTAGGAGGATGAATAATTTGATAAGATCAGGCTAATTATTTTTGATAACACAAATTGGTTGATTTAGAACTTTAGAAGATATTTCTTTTTTTCCCTTCAGCGAGTACAGGTGTAAGGAATTATTATTAGACGTGGTACATTGTAATTGTAGTAACGTTAAATATCTTTATCTCAGTTCGTTCCAAACCAAATTAAGTAGTTAAATTCAGTAATTATATTAAATTACACACCAACAAAAGATGTTTATACATATATAAATTATTTTTGTACAGATATTGTTCAGTTTGTGTGCCCTTCAGTGGACTGATAAGCTATCTATGGAATATTTTCACCTGTGCCGTTTGCTTGCAGGACAGGCATCACCATGACCAAGTTTAATCAGGAGGTTAAAAACATGACTATTTCTACCATCTCAATTAGCAAAGGCTTATTGTTTTACAGGACAAAGACACATAGTGCGTGTAGATATTATTGACTCCCCTTGGACCTTTACTATATTATATATTGTGTTGTGATACAACCTCAATTACAACACATTAAAATATTTTTTCAGTCGTTTTTAACATACTTAACATTTTCTTGGCATATAATCATTATTATCGCAAAAGAAAATTTCATAAAAAACAAAAAAACAATGAACACTCCAGCTTGGACCAGAATTCCTGAGAACTTAAGCATTTCATCTGTAGTTGCTCTACCTTTCGCAGAAATTACATGTTCATACAGTATCTTTTGAAGTATATTTTAAGCAGCTTTTCACATTTCCAGGTTTAATTTTTGCCCACTTGATATTTACAGTATCAAGTTATCATCAATACCACATGACAAGTGTTTAAGCGTTTATGGTTCAATACACACAAAGAAACAGAAATGGATTATCCTAGCAGAAGCCCAGACACAAAATGACCAATGTTACAATCCCTGCCTCTCGGCAACGAAAGAGGCAGAAGAAGGCGTAGCCTTAGTTCATCAGTCCACCTATCACTGTACGCGTTCACCACCACACCTCCGTCTCATCTGGTATTTAAGCATTAGTCTTTCTCTACCTCCTCGTACTGTTCTGGTTCCGATTTTGTTTTTTCCCCTTTTACTACGTCTATTGGATTACGGCTCGGCTTCGGTTGCTTTCTTCGGTTTGGATCACTGGCTTCTCTTGGACTCTCGGCTCTCTCCTTCGGTTACGGTATTAGGATCACGACTCGTCTCTGTCGGCTCCCGCAAGTGGGTTCACTACTGGGTTTCGGTTTCACTGGCCGAATCCGTAACAGAATACTGAGCCCTTTAACATGGTCCCAGCGGAGCAAGAGGAGATTCGCTCGGTTTTGGATCAGCACTGGCAAGCCTTACTCCAGTTACAGGCTTCCGTACAACAGATTTCTGCGCACCTGTCGGCATTGCCGCCTACTAGTAATAGTGTAAGTAACGCTGGAGCTGCCACTTCGGCTC